TTTTTATAAAGGGTTTAATTGGGGAATTGGTGGTTTTGGTCAGCTGTCAGTTTTGAAGAAACCTAGAGAAAGCTATATCAGCTAATGAATCATAATCATTGATCTCAGAAGGAATTCAAACCCGGGTAATTGGGTTTCCAATTTGAAAATTTAGGGCCCTAAAGTTTTTTAGCATTATAGAGGTACCATTTTTCAAACAGGGGGGTCTGAATAAATCTTGAAAAATTAGCATTATAGAGGTACCATTTACTAATCAGGATCCAACATTACACCCCTTCACAGGTCGGATTTGCCGCGGGTGCTCCAGCTCATTTGCGGCAACGAGAAGGACGGCGCGACCTTCTTCTATGCCGCTCGCCTGTTCACAGAGAGCCCCACGGCGCAGCTCATGCTCTATCACGCCGACTCCATGCAGGCAGGGTGTGGCAATCTTTTCTTTCCGCATTCTTTGTCGAACTTGCCTCAGGCTGCCTACGCGCGCGCCACCTTGCTTTTGACTCCTTCGCGCACTATCCGGTGGCCGGCTGGCGCCTATGTGGGGGTGGACCGCGACCAGTGCAATTCCTTCGGCGATAAAACCAGCGAAGGGCAGGCAGGGCAGGGCGCGTGGAGGGAATGGCCTTTGTTTTCTTTAGCGTTGCGTCGACAGGCGGAGGTAGGCGTTGAGCTGGCAAAAGAGCTTGGCTTCTTGAAGGGTGCCATGGAGGCACGCCGCTGTGTGAAGAATTTAATTGCGGACTATTGTTTTCGTCTTTCTTGTCAGGTTCCTTCGGGCCGCATTTTCTACAACGCGGTCCAGTTTCGCGGGAGGTTTCCCCTTTTTGGCTTTGTCGAGGAGGCGCTGAAAAGGAATACTTTTTCAAACGTAAAGAGCAATTTTGCTTATTTTAACAAACTAAACTATACTAAACTCCAAGCTTTGTTCTTTCATGTGTATTGGTTCACATAAGATTGAAAAAGCTGTAGTCTAGAATTGCCCCGCCAATAATTTTTCGAGGTTCAGTTCTGGCTGCTCATGCTTCTTTGATGCTGTTCTTTCATGAGGGGACCGGCTTTTAAGGGACATGTTTCTTTGGCTGTCGTCAACTCTACGGGCCCTGAAATGCAAAAGAATGTATACACCAGACATGCAGAAGAAATTCGTCAAATACCGCTGTCTCGCCCAAACTTTTCCAGCTCGCAAACCTTCCAAAAGCGTACGCCAAACAGACATCGTCCCAAAGAGCGCTTTTAAGACACTTTACAAATTCTGTTTATGCAACGGCACTTGTTGAGGCCGCGTCAACGCTCTCCTGTCTAAGCCCTTCTGATTAATCGCCAAAAAGCGCACCTCAAACGCGCCCGAAAGAACATCGCGCGAGAATTGAGCCTAAAGTTAGACCTGTCACCTTGAAACAGAATGAAGCGCGATGGAGGTTTTGAGATGTTCGCGTGTATCGATTCAATACTCTATATAGTGGCGCCGACAAACACACTTGTAGTTTTTTGAAACGGCTTTTTACTGGAGGCGCTCGCAAAGGGAATGCTCCACATCGATGAGGGGCTGGGCTACGAAATGCGGCTGCGGGAAAGCTGCGTCAAGGGAAGGTGGCCATGCGGAAGCCTTGGCCTCATCTTGTTGTGGTGGTTAGAGCGCTTTCCTTGTTCACTTGCTTCTTTGCCGCTCCTTGGAGTGTTGCGCGCGAGGTCGTGAGAACCCCCTCATCGGTCTGGACATTAATTGTCGATGCGACAGCCAAACCTTTGAAGGCGCGGGCGTTGCTTTCGGGATGTGACAACGAACTGGGGCCCTTGTTGGAAAACTTCTCGCCGTCAGGAGGCCGTGCTGAGTGCGCAATTGCTCTCTGTCCTTCAGCTTCGCGCGCAGCTCCCCCCCACAGCAGCGGCGCGGCAAGAAGCGTGGGCGCTGTTGGAGCAGATCGTCGATGCCTGCATCCGCAAGACCGAGGCTGGAGCAACATTGTTCTGTCAGACGTTGTCTATTGCATCAAATCAACGGATGGCATCTGAAACCTTTGATGCTAGGACGACGCGCTCCAGTCGTCATTTGAGTACGGCCCGCGTGGACGTGACCGGCCAGTGGCGGAGGGGGGCCTGTCAGAATCATTAATTAGCTAAATTGCAGAGAGCGTCGTTTGCGCCAATCTCGGCGGGGCCTGTGTGAGGACAAGTGGCTGCGGCGCCGCGTCCCCCTCGAAGACATTGCCACAATGACCACGGGGAGCCAACGCCGACGAGGGTCTTCAAACAGCATCGGCGGGAGCGAGCGCCGTGGCAGATTGAGCGGGGCACCAAGGCCTGGCTCGCTGTTGCGATTGCCTCGCTAACTCGTCCGCTTTTGTTGTTTGTTGGCAGGACGGCTTGCTCCGTGGCTTGCGCCGGTTTGATCAACTCACCAAAAAGCAACGGCGCAAGCCGAGCTGCTTTTCCCCGGCACCGCGGTTGGAGGGTGGGCGACCTCGAACCATTGGAACAACCTCCATCGGATGTGCAGGCGTGGCTGTATGTTAGCGCGATCACGCTCCGGCGGCCAACCCACCTCTGCGATCTCTTAGGTCTGGAAGGCCGTGCCCCTTCCTGACATCAAGTTGGCCAAGTACATCCCCAACAACTGCATCATTTGTTCTTGCGTTGGTCGTGGGTGCTCGGGGCTCAGCGCTTGATTTCGCGCCCTCAATTCTGAACAGTTGTTCTCTGTTCTCAGCGCCGTACGCGTGATCCTCGTATCGCCCTCGTGGCTCCGAGGCTGTGAGCTTGGTGGGGGAGACTATGACGGGGACAAAGTCTTCTTGGTCAACTTTGGGTTGCTGTTGCGGTTTTTGGCCCTGACATCACAGGCCTGTAGTTGCCAGGGCTGCCCCTTTCGTTAGGTTGAGTCAAATAGTCCACGTCATCGCATTGTTTTCCCGCTTCGCTTTGCAGGCCATGCCTGCCCCAGCCAGCAATCCGATTGCTGAGCTGCAGCCCGAGGAGCGTGTTCAGGTTCGCTCGGCGGTACACTACCGCCGCTGGGTGGCCGACATGCCGACGCCTGACACCAGGGGGCTGACAACTGGCATGAGCGATCGCCTGCAACAGCGAGCCCTGACCGCCACGGACGAGGATTTGGAAGGCGCCTTGCAGGAGAGGGCAATGGTTGCGGTCAAACTTTTTTGTGTTGCACGTTTGTTGCCCATGCGGCTCGATCGCCGGCTTATTTTTTTTGATTGATGTAGGATGCCAACGTGGGCGGGCAGCTGGCGCACGTGGCCTACGACGCTGCTAAGAAGTGGCCGGCCATCGTCGTTTTGCGTATGGGCCGAGCCTTGCTGACAAAGGCGGGCATACCGAAGAAGGCCAGGTCGGGTCCATTGTGAGAAAAATCATTTCGCCGTTGCACTTTATAGCTGATAAGAATATTAGGAATGCTATCAAAACTTCATGATTTGCGTCTGCGTTGGGCTTGTTTCGCCTTCGCGGCGCTCCTGTGGAAGGCGCCCAAAGAGAGCGATGCCGCCCGCGCCCGGTTGCAGCTGTTTGGCGGCGTGCGTCTGCGCACGCCATTCAACCGCATGCCGCAGGAGCGTTGGCTAATAGAATTATCAGATTTCAGGTTTCTTGTTTGTGCGGTTGGCGGTGCCTGTGTGGCCGTTGGTCTTTCCGAATCGTGGCAGGACCTCGTTCGTGCCCGGGGTTGGCTTCCAGCCGGGCGCGTGGTCTTGGGCGCCCAAGCTGCCAAGGCGGTGCGGTCGGCGTTGGAAGGCAGCGGCGCGGGCCGGAATCCTTGGAGGGCAGTCGCGCAGAGGTTCATGGTGGAGGCAAGCAAGCGTGGCTTTCAAAAATGAAACCGGCGTGAAACCTTTTCCCGCATAGGAAATTGCGGGCGCTCTTTGCCATTGGTGGCGCGCTGGTGACAATGGGAGGGACAGCCTTCGCCATCAACTCGGGGCAGGCAAGGCCATATGTTTACACGCGCGTCCCTGCTCGCAATTCAATTTGTCGTTGGAGGCGACGCGCAACGGAGAGCCGCTGTGGAGACTCTGAGGGGCATACTACAGCGTCGAAGGCGCTTTCTGTCAGTCTTCATGCTCGAACCCTCAATGAAAGAACTGACGCCTATCGCCGACAGGCGGCGGGCAAGGAAGAGCGCTGGAAACCTGCTCAGGAGCCATCTCTACTCTGGCCAGAAATTCCGCCGCTTCCTCAGATAGCGCGCGTTACTTTGCTGACTCGGCGCATGATCAATACACTCGCCGCGCTGAGGTGACTAGTCGCCTGCTTCCTCGGGCGGGTGCGTTCGGGCCTTTTCGTTCTGCGTGGGGTTATTTTCTTTTTGGTGTAATTGTGAACCTGCGCTTCATACTCCCGCGCGCCAAGGATTACGCACGTGAGCGCCACGAGACGACGGCGGCGCGTCAGCAAAATGGAATTGCTAGTCACGCGCACTATGAACACGTGCTCACCATGTTTGCATTGGCGATGCCCATTGCTTTTGCACGACGTTGCAGCCATCTGTCAAAGAGTTCCAGCTGCTCCCTGCGCAGACCGGCGTGCTTGGCCTGAGCTCAGTCCCTACAAGTATTTTTGAAAATTTGCTCTTTTGCCCATTGGCTGTGGTAACACTTCTACTTGTAATGACGCTTTGCATTGCCACACTTTTAGAGGGTCCCTCTTTTGCCACATGTTGGGTGGGTATTTGTGTGCAGAGATTCCCCGGGTCCTTCGGGGGTCGGGCCGGGGGTTCGGTGTCCCTTTTTTTGATTCGAGCTCGCTCGCTACCTGCCACCAGATTCCGTGCCACAGGGGGAGGGTGAGATGAGTGGCTCATGTGAGGATATGACATGAAATGACAAAAATTTCAATTTTTCTTACAGAGGTTCTTTCAGTGGAAATCATCGCTCATGCCGAAATCAACGACGCCGGATGTCCAAGAACTTGCCTTTGAGGTCCAAAACAATGGCAGGTTCACAATTCCTTCATGTGCAATGTCAGTTCTACCTCTCGACAGCCTTTGTGAAAAAAAGACGCTGCCAAGCCAGAAGCAAAGGCTACCCGCGATAAGAAACAAAAGACAGATGAACAAATCCTGAACAGGGAACAAAAGCAAACAGCAACCCGTGACAACCAAAAGAAGAGCACCCCGCCAGGAAGACAAGGGTCGCACATCATCAGAATTTCTTTGTGCAATAGTAACAATGTGCAACAATAACAGTAATGAACATAGAAATAGTATGTATAACTGCATGTATAATAGTTATATTAGTTTTTAATTTACTCAAGAGCTGTGATTGTATTAAGTTGTTGCACAAGTTTGCAATATTCCTCGTCCTCATCCACCAACATCATCACAAAAAACGAGAGCTCAAACCACACGCCTTCCTTTGTCGGCCCGGTCCTGGTCCCGGTTTTCTCAGAGAAAGGACCTCTCAAACCGTTGCAAACCCTCTGGTGGTCGGTGGTTCAAAACCCTCTCTCTCTCTCTCTCGTGATTCCCTTTTTTAGGATAACACGATTCCGTTAAGACACGACCCTTAATTCTCTTTGCCTTGTAAGAAAGCTTATTGGTGGTGATTTTCCTCAAAACCCATTGTTCATTCCATCCTTGTTCCTTTTCTTTCCTTCTTCTTCCGGCCCCCGACCGATCCCCGCGCCGCGAACCGCGAGCTTCCGGGCTACGCGCCGCTTGGCTCCCCAGGCAGAGGCCAAAGGCTCTCGCGTCGCGAAGATCCTCAAAGAGGTTGGGCCGGATCCGTCGCCCCTTCGTTTGAGCAGGGGATGAGCAGGATGAGGGGACTTGGATCGGAGGGCCACTTCGTTTGTTGTCCTGGGGACGCAACTATAAGAGGGCCGACTTGCTCGGTTTGCAGACACTCACATGGGTGTCAAAATCCTCAACTATATCGTGTAAGGTGTAGGTTATAGTCGATGTGCACTTCTCTGTTTTCATGTCAAGTCAGGGCACGAATAGGGAAGGTTGCCTGAGATGCACAAGGTGGTGCAATATGGTGCAATTGTGTATTGTGCACTTGCCGTCCGCTGGTCTGTAAGCTATGTGGAACGCTTAAGGTGCACATCGTGGTCATGGAAGCCCTGCCAAGACTTCCCAAGCAACTTCTCTATTCTAATGAGTTCCTTCCCCGTTTGCTACAAGGAGGAGCAACCTGATCTCAGCATTTGTTCAAAAACCTGCAAAGTGGACAACGACCGTAAGCGGCATGTTTGGTTGGTCTCTTTTCTTAACTCGCTGCACAACTTGACTTGCTGGTTGGGGATTCTGGGGTTTGCCTCCCTCCCATCATTCACATCGTCGGATTGAAATTCTTCGTCGGATGGCCACGCTTCAGGCAGAACGCGAGAACGAGAGCCAAGAAGAGCAGGGGAAGCCCAAATTCTGCGGGCGGAATGAGTCCTTGATGTCTTTTTGGTGTGGTCCAAGGACAAGCCAGGAAGGGTTTCCCTCTTGGACTTCAGAAAAGTCTTAGGAACCCACTGAGAACTCATCACTAATGCTTTCGATATTTCTTTGGGTTTTGAAGCAGACACCCATGATTACGGAGGATGGCAACACCTGATCGACGGAGCTGGGGATTCACTACATCGATTTCAGCTCAGCTCGTCAACTCTGCATGGTTGGACAACCCACCATTTTCGCTTAAAAAACGGGTCGGTTCTTCCAGCATCAGCTTCCTGAAAGGATGTCCTTTTCAACCTGACCCGTTTCATTTGTGTGGTCAGATAGTTTTTGACCAGTTGGAAGATATTTCAGGAACACAGGGGCATAACATAGGGGGCTTCCTACTTCCCACCCCCTTTTTGGTTGAGATTCGTACCTCTGGGCACGGGAGGAACTGTGTTTCGTCCAAGAGCAACCTGAACCACCTACATGGGCGCCTTGGGCAAGGCAGTTGTTCTTCCAACAAATGGCTTGTGATGAACATTGGGAACTACCTGGAGGTTCCCACCTGGTCCTTGTCTCATCCACCGCCCCAAATCAAGACAGCACGGCCACCCCCCCCCTTTGGCCCATCCTCGCCTCCCTCGCGGTTCCGCCGCAGCTGCGCGGAAGCGCACTGCTCCGCCGGAAGCCAGAGAGGGCTCTGAATCGGTCGGTCTCGCGCCCCTTCAGGCTCAGCGCAGGAGCTGAGAAGCTCCAGCAACTGAAGGATCGCTCCCAAGCAGAGGCGCCGTTGTGCGACGACCCGCGGAGCGCGGAGCACCACCGGGTCGGGATGCGTGGCGGGGGGTTGGAGCGCGGATGCGTGGTGTTCGGGGTGCGGGTGGGGATGGTGGCCATCCAAGTGAAGAGCCGTCGTAACTATGTAGACTCTTGATGAAGAGCATCAAGCTTGGGGCATTTATGAATCAAGAGTCTACATGATCAATGCTAGGGCCGCTATAGGGTCTTTGTGTGACCGAAGCTGCACAACCTGGGTGGGATCACGAACATGTTTCAGCTGTTCAACCAATGACCACACCCAGACACGACTTGTTGGCGAAGCTGCCCATATTTGCCGGGTCTTATGTATGGTCAATGTAGGCATCCAGCCATAATCCACCCATGGAGATGTCGACCGCCTCTTTTGGCACCTCCGGCTCGACCTCGGTCGGCGACTCCGCCCGTCTCGCCGTCACCTCGCCAGATCCAACGGGCGATCGACACGGAGAAGGACAAGCTGCAGAAGATTCAGGACTGCCCGGCGTCTCAGCTCGCTTTCCGCTTTTGGCACGTCGACACCATGGAGGGTCTTCTCCAAACCGTCCAAGAGAGGTTGAGTGACCTGAACTAGGGCCCGTCAACTGGGGTACCGAACTGGGATAGTCCAAAAACGGTCCTTCAACCTCTGTTGGGTGTTCTGTTTTTGTTCCGAACCAAAGGCTCAGACGTTCCGTTCTCTTTTGCCGTGTGGACTTCGGCGGAGCTTCCGTCTGGGCATCCCGTGCGGAGCCGTCATCCGTCATTGACCCGGGATCCGGGTGTCGTGACGCCTGGGTTTTGGCTTCTCAACAGAAGCTAACAGCTAACTTTCCATCTTTTGAACCCCCAATCCGGGTTTTGGAAGGTGGCGCATTATGCCACTTAGTCGTTTTTCTGAAGTTTTTCCCATGACGTGGGATTTTCATAGTCCATGACCATGACATCTAGACTCAACCGAAGAAGAAGCAGCCCAACCTGGGAGAGGTATCATGTGGACTTCGTATACGTCTTGATGAATAGAATCAAACCAACAGTCTACATTGTCTACGTTCGCATCCACGGGTGGGGACAGTAGCAATAGACATTTTCAGCCCATGACGTGTGGGGGTGTGCATGGCCATGCATGGCCATACCATGTTCATCTCCATATGGGAACATCAATGAAACCAACTATCTACAGTAGGTAAAGGCATCAGCGGCTGGGTCAGGTCGACGCTCCTCATGTCGGAACCGACCCCTCGCTCTTCCGAGCTTTGGATTTGCCGTTTTCGTCTTCTTTTTTCAAATCCGTTGTATAGTAGGAGAGGATGATGGCAAAGACCCACGGATTCATTAAACCCTTCTTGAGTTATTGGGGGAACCTCTCGATCGAAGACATTCACGACGATCATATAAGATCATTTCGTCAAGGGCGTTTCTGGCAGCAATGTTTCTCAGTAAACCCGATCTGTTTCTTTTTTGATCTTTTTTGTGAAGAGCCATATTCCAGGAGTCACAAGACGGGGTGCCGAACAAACGGAGGTAGTCGGGGTGCCCCTGTCACATCCACTCACTGGACGGGACTAAAACCACCCCGTCTTGTGACATCCAACTGCCCTAAGGAGTCCGTTGCCATCTCTCGAGTCCAGCTAGTCCGCTGGTCTAGGTGACATGAAACACCTAGGTGAAACGGCCAAACCCCAGGTGACATGACCTCGAAAACCCGGGTGAGAAGCCACCACCCCATCGTTTTTCCGTGTCACGCGCCACCTGGAACCAGAGCAGTCTGTTTGGACTTGGGGCCCTGTTGCCAGGTTTGTTGGGAGTGTTTTCCCTCTGCCGATCAAGTGCGCTTTGAATCCGTCCCATTTGGGTGGTAGCGTGCCGTCCCTTCCAGCACTCACAAGGAAAGAACCCAGAATCCAGCTGACCGGTGAATCCAGATCAAGTGACCGTGCTGAATTCGATCCAGTCCCAGTGCTTCGATCCCTCAACTCGAGTCCCAGTGCTTCGGGGCGAGTCCCAGCCCAAGCAGTGCCCAACCGGGTCCCGCACGCTCCACGGGTACCTCAAACGGTCCACGCCTCCTCGGCCTCCGCACGCCGCAAACGATCCGCGCCTCCTCCGAGGTGCCGAGCGGCACGTGAAGATGCAGAAACAAGTGGCCGCTCGGAGCGGGTTGAGGTGGAACTGCACGTGGTATGAACAGGGACGGATGAGCAGTTTGGACAACAGCGCGGCGTGGCAGTTGGACGCACCGAGTCCACCACCACCTTGTAAGGCTTTGTAAGGTGGACTCGGCGCAGGTTGCTGCAGCAACAGGACAAGGGCGAACTCGTATTTCCACGTGTTTGAGGCAGAGAGTTGAACTCTAATGCGGTTGAGGAAAATGCTTCTGTTCAGTAAGTTGCCAGTATATGTTCAAGTTTTTGTGCGTCTCCGTTGGCCGAGGCGGCTGTTTTTTGTCCCAAATGAAGCAACAGTAACTAACCACACTCCTTCCCACTCCTTAGTGTACGGCGGAAGGCAATTCGCTTCATCAAAACTTGGATCGTTGAGCATGAATAGGCGGTCTGCATCCTTCTGCCAATTCGGCATCCTTCTGCCGTTTTGGCTGTTGAACACCCGGGGCTCGGATCACATCGGTACTTGGACTCTTTGGACTCGGACTCGGACTCATCAGTGATGCATCTCCTGTTCGCCGCCCTTTTGGAGTGCGAGACTGGTAATGAGAAATGCTTAAAGAGCTCAGCTCACGAGCTGTTTTCGAGGTTCGTCATGGCTCCTTTTCATGGGGTTTCCATGGTTCTTTTCTGCCATGCCCATCCTAAAACTGCTGGTGTCCATCCACAATCCGGAGAATTGGGAGCTCAGATGCTCGCTCCGTTCGATCGAGACCTCCCATTCGTCCCGACCCCCTGGGGTTGGGTTCGGAAAAGAGTTCGACCAGTCTACCCAGCCAGGGCCAGGGTATTCCTATGTACATAGACACCCAATTGTGTTGGAAGATGAGATACAGAAGACAAGCGTGACCCTGAGAACGAAAAATGAGGACCATGATTATGGCACACTGGCACCCAAGCCAGTTTTGACATAATTGGTTGCGATGCAATCTCAGTTTTTGATATTATACCCTTGAACTATCGCCTTTGAAATTCATGGTACTATATATTATGCCTAGTTGTTTCAGGTACCCTTCTTGGACTAGTACTCCTCTTCATACGTTCTCTTGGCCTGTATTTCCGTGCCGCATGGTCCGGCTGGCGGCGGTGCTTGGCCTTGGCCTTGGCGTCTTGGCCACTTGGCAGATGGGACGAGCTTGGGAACGAAGTCCTTGGTCCCTCCGCTTCGGGTCGTACCGTGAGCGTCCTACGCAGAGAGACCGAAGCCGGTCGCGCGACCACGTGGACGAGACCGAAGGGCCGGAAGTGGATGCGAGCAGCACGAGCTTAGCTGTTGCAGAGACATTCTCCTCCATAGCAGAAGCCAAAGCAGAAAGCCAAAGCAGAAGTACTTCGACAGAAGGCACAAGCTCCGCTTTTGCTTCGACAGGCAGCACAAGCTCCACTTTTGCTTCGACAGGCACAACTTCAGTTGAACCGATAGACAGCAGAAGCTCCGCGGTCACTTCGACAGGCAGCACGAGCTCCATTTTTGCTTCGACAGGCAGCACAAGCTCCACAAGTACTTCGACAGGCACAACTTCAGTTGAACCGATAGATAGCAGAAGCTCCGCGGTCACTTCGACAGGCAGCACGAGCTCCATTTTTGCTTCGACAGGCAGCAC